TTTTTCTAAAGATAGGATTTTATGAGTCTCTCGGATTCGCCCCAATGAAACATACCATAGTTTCTAATAGAGCGACAACGAAACACTAATTAAAATCCCTTCGGCGGAAACAGTACTGAGAGGATTATATATAGGCAATATCTCAGCCTCACAATCCCTCAGAGTATTGCTGTTTTCACGAGGCAAATCTAGCTTTACTAAAAGTCTCATTTCGTTTATTTACTTTGATATTTACACGATACTTAGAATTTACCTACGCGTTTATTTATTCTAAGGCATTAGTATCGTCTTAATAGACCAAATTTTACACTCTTCGGCCGGTTTGTCCTTCTGAAATAGTTCTGGAGCACTCTGTGGATATACTTCCGGTAATGGATTTGGATTAGACTCTTGTTCAGATGTCATTCGCGACATTACTCTTGCGTCCAATCCGGGTGAGAGTTGATTTTCGGGTGATAAAGATCTGATTCTGCTTGCCTCTCCATTGTCTGACAACATCTCGAACGCCAATATGGCTTGATAGAGTGCCAAATGGTTTGATATCAAATCGGGAAGACCTGCCAGAAGATCCCGAATTGCGTACCAAATCAAGTATGCAAAGCTTCCATCTCTCCTCGTTCCGAATACCTCCGGCAGTATTATTTTTTTTTGAAACTGACGGAAAGGTTTGTGTGCTTGCTTACCGTCGTCAGGTTTCATTGATTTTAGCCGATTGTAATATTTATTATCCTTAAACAAATCGTACCCAAACGTTCTTACCGCTGCATACATAACATACCTCGGTGAGATGGTACCTGGTTTGGTCTTCAATACGTCCGGGAAGAACGTTCCATACGTATTTCGAAATAACCATACCCTATTGGCCCGCTGTCGGACTGTAATAAGCCGGGCCTCCACATTAGACTCTGACTCTATGTATAAACGTACTCTTAAGCAGTACGCAAATTATAAACGTACTCTTAATAGTACGAGGAACTTAAGTTTCCTAAATGTACTCTTAATAGTACGAGGAACTTAAGTCTCCTAAATGTGCTCTTAATAGCACGAGGAGCTTAAGCTTCCTAAAAGGGTTTTTAATTGTTTTATTAATTAAACCTTTTCCATTTAACATATCAGATATTTGGATGAGGCCATTAAAAGGCCTCAGTAAAATACCAAACATAAAAGAGTTGGCCTAGTTCTATTAATAAAGCTTTATTTACTTTCCAATTTTATTTATATCTGAATACTTCTGTAGCGAGATGGCTCAACCGAATATAGGTTTCTAGGGACTATTAACGTTACCTAGTAGATCCTCTGATAAACCAACCATATGTGCCAGTCTGATGAAGGCTAAGTCGGTAATTCTTGATAGGGATAATGTTATTTATTTCAAAAATGGCAAGTATGTATCATACAATGTATGAACATATGGTATGGCTCTCATAGTCGCTGGCACTCTTGATAGTGGCAAGTTATTGGTTAAGACAATAACTAAAGACATCAAGAGTATTTTTATTTTTATTTATTTTTTCTAAAAATAGGATTTTATGAGTCGATCGGATTCGCCCCAGAATAGAGCGACAACGGAACACTAAATAAAATCCCTTCGGCAGAAACAGTACTGAGAAGATTATATATAGGCAATGTCTCAGCCTCACAATCCCTCAGAGTATTGCTGTTTTCACGAGGCAAACCTAACTTTATTAAACGTCTCATTTCGTTTATTTATATCGATATTTACACGATATATAGAATTCACCTACGCGTTTATTTATTCTAAGGCATTAGTATCGCCTTTATTAGACCGAATCTTACAGGACCAACTCTCGTTGAATCTCCTCCTGAAAATCAATCTGTGCCTGGTATGGATTTCCCAGATCAAAGTTCTGTCGCCAAGCCGGTCGGAGTGGTGTTTTGGGTATACGCAGGAATTGTGAGACAATCTTGCTGTCCGAATCGTCGTCCTGACGGTGAAATGACTGGTCCACATCATCCGGACCTATATCCACGAATCACAGTAGTTCTTCGTATACGTTGATTTGGGGTTGATCCAACGGTGCTGGTGGATCATACTCCGAGTCATCCTCCCCTGATTCATCCTGACTTTGATCCTTCGCTGCGGCTTGCTTTTTCTTCCGCTGCTTAGTAGGTCTCATATCATGAACCATTGGTTGGTAGTCCTTCAGGAAGGCTCTCCTATCCCTTGCTATCATGTGATAAGTAGGATCTCGCCTACGCGCTTTGCGCGTATCCACTGGTGGAGATGGTACATCTGATTCCAGTGCATGTCGCACTTCCTCTAAAGTTGAGTTGTCCGATGAATGCGTTTTCTCGGCTTTTCCCTTTCGAGATCTCGCCTTCTTCGTTCTGTGGCTCTGTATTCACATTACCTCCGGATGCACCTATACCCGAGTCAGCCTACTTCTTACATTTTTGTTTAGTCAGAATTGGTACTGTTTGTCACGGTGTGATCTCTGTTACGTCAGAGTCCACTGATGATGCCGGGGGTGTTTTCAGCTTTTCATCGCCTTCAGTAAACTAATTTACTTTTGCAGCCTTAGCTACATTCGCTGCCTTATTATTTTCTTTCGTCATAATATCGATTGCATATTATATATAAAAATTGTAAAAGTCGGTCTCCTCAAGGCCGACTATACGATATCAAGACGTTTACGTTAATAAGACTATACGTTAAAAAGTTGCAATGGAAAATGTTGAAAATAAGTTTAGCTTCAGCCCTTGGCAGTGAGCAAAAAAAATAGTGGATTTTAGACTGAGACTATTGTCTATATGCTCCGCTCTAATCACTCACTACTTCGGTCTAGATTTATTTATGTTTTAGTTACTAAGACTAGATATCATTTCATTGGACGCATATTATACATTTCACGCCTCGAAACAATTGTCTACTCAAAATAACCAATAAAATATCTCTAAGTCCAACTTAAGAAAATTAAAATTAAAATCAAAACACCAAGCTGGTGCAGTATATATCTGCACCTAACCCTCATCACTTGGTACCTAGCTCCCCATCCCATTTAAGGCATAGACGGGCACATCTAGTTGGCTGGCTAGGAGGAATCAAAACCAGGTTGTCCTAAATTCTAGCTTTT